ACATACGCTAAACAGGAGGGATAAGACACTTTTGACAATGTACTCTCAGTGCTTACGTCACATACCTAGGCTTACCTAGTTACGCTGTGCCTTTCCTAAGGCTTTTATTACAGCGAAAGCTGTTATGAGATTACAGCTCGGGTCTCGCGCAGCGCCGTAATTGTACACCACCGCCACCTCTACTGTTATGTTTAGACGCAACTGAAGGCACCACTTGTTACGCCCACACTTACTTTGACCTTCACTATAGTTACATCCAGCCATAAGTATAGCCAACACTAGCGCTACGTTTAGGCGAAACTACAACCACCGCTAGCGTTTAGAGTAGAGTTACATCCACCACGGTGCAATTCTTCATTCGTTGCTATGTCCTATTCACAGAGGAAAATAACCAATTCCTGCTTGCCTCTATAATTTCTTTAAGTGCTTCATTCGACGTAATTTAAGAATGGTATCGCATACATTGGTGAAGTCGCACCCAGCCACGGTACTGTAATGTTCAGCGCTGCTGCTTTCTGAATTAACCCATTAAATCCCGACAGAGTCTTTCAATTTATGAAGGTTCTTAAAACTGTGCCAGAATGACGCAAATATGCTTTGAGATAGCTTAGGGTACCCCTTACAGACACCATGTGACAGGAGTTTTCAATGTTTATTAGAAAGCTGCTAAAACAGTTGTCAAATAGCAGTTTATGTTTTGACGGGTCGGCGTAAAACGCTCCTTTGTGTGAACCGATTTCTTTCTTGTATTACTTTCTGCAATAGGGTGATGCAGATGTCCTAGTTTTGTACCTGTACTATGCAATCTCCGGTGAAAATTTCAAATAGATTAACCGATGTTTTGCTTGCGAACTAGCGTATTAGTTCATGTGTTTGCATATGATCACGCCAGGCCTCTGGGCTTCATAATTTGGTTAAGTTCGTTACTTCATTTTATGCCCCTTGTAGGGCGATTCCACTACGTTCAAGTGCCAATTTATTGTATACACAACGTAAATAAAATAGGCAAAAAACATAAAGAGGGTAATGGATATGTGTCGGCCATCTACAGTGAGCTCAGAGGCTAACACCTACTTACACGAAGATTTCACATTTGAGAATTCCGGCAGTCTCATAGACAACCTAAGTACGGCATATTATAACTGCTGGTGTTTAACGTCCCAAAACTACAATATGATTATGAAGGCCAAAGTAGTTCTGCTGTTCTGTTCACGTAAATAGCAGTCAACTTAAGTAGTAGGCAGCTTAGAGCAGGTGCTAAGACAGTGCTTGCTGACGGCCATCGCATTGGTGGATACGACTGTCATGAAGATGAAGCAGAGAACGAAAGACGAGGTGATTGATCATCAAGTATCTGACTGGGTGTTGGAAATATAACGCTTGAGGTGAAGCTGTCCTCAATTGCGAAGAAGATCCTAATGACTCACCCTGATGCTGTTACCCAATGTAAGTGCTTTACTGGAGGCACTGACAAAATGGATGCAAATGTAAGTGCCTACCAGGCTGCAGCTTCTTACAAGAAATGATTGCAAGCGATATTCACTTATCAGCATAGTCATAAGGAACGTGTGGTGCCAATTCACTGCACATGATTCGCAGAGAGTCAACTCCCTCAAAGCTGCCTGCATGAAAAAATTGGATAAGAAGCCAAAAGGAATAGGGCATCGAGGAATGTTGATGCTCTATTATGATTGAAAAAGCAGATCACTTTGTTGGAACTCTGCCTAACAGCAAAAGGCACAGGTTCCCTGGGGACCATTGCAACAGCACGGTGCCCACATAGTGTAGTACATGTGCATTGATTGCTTGCTTTATAACATTTCAAAATTAGTCCCCAATAAATTCAGAATCATATTTCCCATGATGCGTCAAGGCCTGAAATAAAATTTGCCACTGTCATTTTTGCTGTAGCCTTGGGCCCAGCATGGCCATATCGTCAATATTTTGTGAACAATGAGCTTCTTCACGATATAATTTTCATTGTGATCTATACAGACGACATGATAAAAAGTCGCATCCCTTTTCACAAGACTCAAAAAAAAAAAATGAATCTGGGCCAAAATGGGTCAAGCGATCATACGTATCAGTTTCACCCAGTTAACCAGTATTGCTTGTGTGTTCAAACATGCATAATTTGTATTGCCGGACTCTTTGTGTATCAGCAGCTCTGTTGAGACAGAGCAGCGGACCCACTTTTAGATGTTAATTTTAGCCTCTGCTGGAGCCACTCTGTCAGCAGCCACCATTTTCGGTGCTGCCTTTTCATTAGCTTCCTTGAAGACTAAAGGCAAATCGCATGCGTCAACTGAAAGCGAAAAATTCTCTCGCAACTTTCGATAAGGGCCAAACCTCATAAGCGCGAAAATGCACGCGACAGCGACGAGCGACGCGACGTAGATCGGCCTCGCGCGATCAGTCGCTAGCGCAGGCAAACCTCATTCACGCGACGGCTTCGGCGAGCGAATTCCACTGTTGCTGGCATGAGGCCGTCTACTCGCACCAAGAAAACCGCGTAGCGAGCGGTATGCAATTTAAAAATAAGATATATTGTTGTGTAATGAAACGGAAAGTGTTTATTATTGCCTTGCAGCTCTTTTTATATGCACATGCGTAATAAACATTGCGTTATTTCTTGTTGCGCATACGTGACTCGGGCAGGGTCACGTGCACCTATGTAGTCTTTGTCTTTTCCGGTATTTCGCTATTGGCTGCTTGAGCCCAGCACTTCCGGGCGATGAGCGACGGTTTCCAAATCTGGAGAACCGAGCGATCGCGCGAAAACGAGCACGCGACACTCGCGCGAACGCCCTGTTTCGTCGCTCGTCGCTGTCGCGTGCATTTTCGCGCTTATGAGGTTTGGCCCTAATTGTCGGGGGTTTAACGTTCCAAAACCACTCAATGATTATGAGAGACGCAGTAGTGGAGGCTCCGAAATTTCGACCATTTGTGGTTATTTAACATGCACCTAAATGCTAAGCAAACGGGCCGCCAACATTTTCGCCTCAATCGAAAAAGCCGCCGCCGGGATTCGATCCCGCGACCTGCGGGTCAGCAGCAGAGTGCCTAAGCCACTAGACCACCGTGACGGGTCGCGATTTTCGGTAGTGCCTTTTACTCATGTTATCAGTTCCAACAGTACAATCAGGTGTACTTAAAATTAATTCACTCACGGAAAGCTTACGCTGCGAATAAATTCGACGCACTAACGAAAAAAGGAAAGCCTGACGTGGCCGACGAAGTTACATGCGGATTCGTCGCAGCGGTAACAAAAAAGGTTGTATGCAGCAAGAGTATATGCGACAATTAATTATAGAAAGCCCAGAGCCCCAGGAGGGAAAATTGATCTTGATACATAATGGCGCTTTCGACCGCGAGAAAACGAAAGGAAGATGGGCGTCCCATCTTCGTAGTCGTGTACATCACCAAAACAGCAAAACAACAGAGTCGAGTGGGCAGCACTGCTATGACATTTCAGCGAGAAACGACACGCATGAGCAATCGTTACACAAGGAGCACAACAGACCTTGATGGGGGATGGCTTGTCGGACAGCAGCCGTCATAAGAACACGTGCATGCCTTGCAGCGAAGTGACTCGGCAGGAGGTGTTCGGAAATGGTGGCAGCCTAGCCTGATGACCGCGAACAGATTCTCGCCTCTTAACTGCACAGATGAAAATTAAACACTATAAAATCAGTTCAAAGCGACGTAGATGTCATAAGCGGCTTTTTCCGACTTAATGTTCACGCAAAAAAAAAAAATATCAAATGCACTGCTAAACCTAACCCGGCACGCGCCACAGGCGGCTTCCACCCTCACGAGCGAGAACAGGACGTGCGGGAGCGCGAGGCAAATCATGCTACTAGCCCTATGCTGATATTCATCGGCAACGCGAAGCGTTACAAATAGTCCACCCCAATCTACTGAAAACAATTCAAGATGGTACCACCTAGTTCACGAATGCGAACATGTCCGTTTCGGTGCAAAAATCGCGTAACACGCCGGTAGCTTACCTGCGAGGATGACTTTACAGCCACACGATGGCACAGGCTCCGGGCAAAGGCTGTCTACAAAAGAGATGTTATATTCACTCGATTCCTACGCTTGGACGAAACGCAGTTGTTTCACCAGCACCACCAGCCGCAGTGAGAATTCGCGAAGCGCATGGAGACGAAGGGACATTAGAAAGCGCGAGCCACGGGAGCGTGAGCAAAGGAGCTGGCCGCGCTGGCTTATCCTAACAACACAGTGACGTCACATAGCAACCAATCAGGAAGCATTGTAGGTACGAGCTCTTCCGCGCGAATATAGCGCCTTGGGATATTCTAGGCGAATCTGGCTGGCCAGAGAACACCCAGGAGAACACCCATGTCTGACTTATTCGATGTCGCCGTGGCCTAAATGCAATTGCTGTATTAACGACAATAAATGATCTACGCCATTTTCACACGTGTTGAGCGTTTTCAGGAATGCATTAGTTGATATTATCCGGTTATTCTTGTCATATGAAACCGAATTCTCATGGAATGAGTAGCGACATCTCCCGTAGCCATATCGACGCTCTAGTTCACAGCAATACCGTACACAAGAGACTGTACAGAAGACCAACTACCCCGGTTAGCATTTCACTTTCAGCGCTTCTCATAAAACTGGTAGCGTTAATACAGAATACAAAATGTGTTATGATCTTGAAAACGAATGTAAAAAAAACTGGCATTTAAAATCCATAATAAAGAAGTGCCGCCACCTATGAGTTGCTGTGATAAACGCCTTTTAGTTCGTCCGTCAAGTTGTTGGTAGATGGCACTACCAACGCAACAACCTTGGACATGACTTTGGAGCGATGGATATTTAGTTTACGCCTACGCACATGCAAATTGCCTATTTCTGACACCAAGCTAAGTGACCGGGCACTGCACTCACTTTTACAGCGGGCAGCACTAACACAAAAATGACTTAGCGGCGACGCGACGTAGCTTGAAAAGAGAAGAAAATTCGTGCAATAGCGAATCTCAAAAAACTTTTTACTGAATGACACAATTTTGTACATCGCGGACAGAAACACATTCACTTAACATGGCTTACGTAATGCCACAGTAACATTATATTTTTACGTTCTTCAGGTCCAAGGAAACACTGAATTGCGCATCGTCCAACAGAGCAGAAGATTCAGAGCACGCTGCTCATGAAGTCGCAGTAGTTACAAAGGCACAGTAAGGCAGGTTCAGATGCTGCGATCATTGAAAAAGTTGGAGACGATGGGCAACGTGACGAATGAGACTCAATAACGCGCTCGACACACAGCCGGACTTCTGTCAAAGACAGTGCAGTATGGATCATTAGTCCGCAAGCACAAGTTATGCGGCCTTCTTTCTTGTCCAAATCGTTTCTGAGGCAGACGGGACATACCACAACATCACTGCTCCACATGTGTACAGCAGCATCCACTTCCTGACTTTGCAATGCCAGCACGCTTTCGTACTGCTTCCAAATGTTGTATTCCTCCTCCAGCAACGCAGCAAAAGTCTCTTCCATTAGCAGTTCGTTCAATTCAGTTTCGTCCCAGGGTACTTCAGCAGTCGCACTTTCTTGACTCCTGGCTATAGAGTTCGCAGACGACGCACCTCGAAATATGTCCAGCTCCTGCCGAACAACTTCTGTAACCGAGCGACGGAGCTGTTGCTCGCTGTGACATGCATCCCCGGTACTTCTGAAGGAGTCGAACAAGGCTTGCCTTCCTTTTCGAAGCCTCTCCCTGCACTGGTTTCGATACGTTTCTTTCCAAGGCGGTGTTTTGGACTTGTAAAGAATCTGGTGCCGCGACAACACCGACGCACAAGGAGACGCCATAATGCCTTATTGATTCGTAAATACCACGCAGGAATGTGGTAAATACGCACACGCTTGGCCACGGAGGCGTTGGCTTGGCGCGCTTGACTAGACTGCTCGACTGCAATTGGATCGCATGCAGGCCACTAAAATTAATTCATGTATTTGTGACAACGTTCTGATTGTATTTTAATTTAAAAATAAGTTGAAAATTATTGTTTATTTTATTATAAATAACTTTATATAAATATACGTGAAAGTTTTCTGGAAGAATTTAGGCAGGTTTTGGGCTAGCAGACGCCGAAAAGGTAAGATACGCGCTCGGCGCCACCTTTGTGAGGACACTAGGTGTTCTGTGAGGACACGACAGATTGCAATGTGGGCGCTTGAGGACGGCGCCTTCGCTTGTCATTACGCATTGCGTTATGTTCTAAAACCTGTTCCGCCTTGCGAGATGAAGTGTTTACGAGTGGCGGCGAGTGTTTGAAGCTACTGTTCATCGCTTTTGTTATGTTTCCCGCGAAGCTTATTCCTCATGTGAACAACGCGGTGAACTGCAGACTGCGTCGTGCACATGCCTCAAAAGTTATGTACTACACGTTTGCACACACGCATAGAGATAACTTTGGAGTTATTATTATTATTTTTTTTTCGTAGTAGTCGAGACCTTGGTAGTCGTTTGTGGAGCCGTTCCTGCTTTCTGTGCACTTAGCGAAGACGATTGGGGTCGAACTAGCTCGCTTCGTCGTATGTTTGGCGTATGTTTGTGTGCGTGAACCTCTTAAAACCTCTGTCCTGACTTCTCGATTGATCTTCGAAGGTGATAGAAGGCCCTAGATCGCGACTGTTGGTGATGCTCGCTGGTCGCGAGCGGCGTAACGGACCCACTTCAATTTATTCGCAACTTTGTAGTTGTTTTGTGCTTTCACCGCCTAGAGGAAGCGCTAGTGCAAGTCCAACATGGCTGTGGTTTGGGGGATCGCGCAGCCGGCAGCCGCCGCCGGTGTGCCCGTCACTTCGAACTGCGTAGTATTTTCAGCTGCAGCCACCGTGTTGTCAAGGCTTTGCTGAGAAGGTCACTGACTCTAGCATGTGTTATATTCGACACGGCGTGTTGAGAAACGCGTATGCGGCGTATATTGAAGGAAAAGAAGTTTTGAGTGCTGGGCACGTCGTCTGCTGCGGTGTGAAGGAATGCACGTACGTAGAGCTTTGTGAACGCTGCTCGTTCACATGCAAGCTGTTACTGTACACATACCGAACGCGAAACTACGTATGTACACATGACGTCCTCATGCGTCCTGCGGGACACAAATGTTTCGTCCGTCGTCACAAGCAAGAACACTGCACAACCTTCAATGATTTGCAAGGCGTTCGTCATGGCTCTGCTTTGTTTTTGTACCCAAACGCAATTTCGCTGAACACTTCAAATACATAAGCCGCGTCACCCACTACACGACACATCCTAATTTAGGTACTCGTTCTACGCACTGTTGAGGCCCCTTGGCTAACAGAAGGTGTTGCAAACGTTGAACACTGTGTAACTAACAACGGGGCACAGAGAACGGATATTGTCCACCACGGTTCAGTACGAGACTTACCGAGGCGCACCAGCTACACTGCACAACACGTAACCATAGCAACGCCGCCATTAGGTTCAGCTTAAACTTTCCTAATTTAGAAAACTTTATGGCAGGCATAAAGTTGTTTCTTTCCTTCATGCTCTATGGCTTCCAGCGGCAGTGAATAAGGCCGCCCTGACATCATTCCCTGCACACTTTCACGTAGCGCAGCGGCTAGGCAAGCCCTCTCCTCTCATTCTTCCCTCAATGCAGGGCTCACTTTTCTCTTCCTTTCTGCTCTCAAAAACTACCCCCTCCCTCCCCCCGAGCACAGCCCTCCTGCCTGCCGCATCAGTAGCCACACAGTCGTTTGCTCCACCAGGCAGCTTTGGTGTCGGAGTAGTCGCTCAACTGAAACCCGCTCAATGGGACTAAAAGAAATTTCATCTTTACAGGCAAGTAAGAAAAGTCGCAGTACCAAATGGCAGTTTTCCTGATAAAAGATCAGGTTACATATCCAAAGCGGCTAATAATCAACAAATTTTTAATTAAAGAAGCCATTACGTTTTGAAAAAAGTGCGTGCAAGTTAGGTGTGTAACGGGTGCATGCTTGACGGCCGCATTTTTGTAGGTTGGCCGGCGACGTGTACACTCCACAAGCATTTAACGATTAGGTTTAGTTGCCATTGCTACGGCCTCATCAAGTGTGATGCCCAAGGGACGGCTTTCAGCTCTCCCATAGTAGAGTACCGAGTACTCTAAATCATTATTCACTATTTCTAAACATGAGCATCGGGACGACACACTGCGGTCCCGTAAACGAGTACGAAGTACTCGAAATCATAGAGAAATAAAACAAAAGGTTAAGAGTGGACACTCCCGTAGACGCCAGCGGCCCAATCGACCCTAGCACACCTGGTGGTTGGTGAGAGCAAGTGGCGTGCGCTTCCTGTTTCGGTTTAACTGGCGCAAATTCTGAATTACTTTGCGTAACCGACGTTTGGCTATGACGAAAGTTCATGATTTCAGACCACTTTTCATCGCCCAAATGGATAGTTTTTGTAGGTCGTTTTGATTTATCGATTCCCTGTTTTGTTTAGTGGTTCGTGCGAATTGGTCGTGACGCAATTTTTATTTCGATTAGGTGATAATAAAAAGAGATGCAGGTAATAATTCACTACGGTTTTATTCATCGCGCTTGTGTTTTTCTTTTGGAACAAGTGATCAATGTATATATCAGTCAAAGAGACAGAGTATCCACAATGTTATATTCAAAGGCAAGGTAGAGTCTGAGAATATAAAAAGCACAATATGACAAAGGTAGACAACAAATGCATCTCGCCTTACAAATAAATTGTAACAAATACAGAGAGAACACAGACAATGCACACATCGCTAGAGTTGGCAGAAGCCGAGAAGCTGGTGAAGTATGACACACCGGGCCAGTGGGTAAGTAAGGATCTATGGCAAAAACACAGCACACAATGCTGATGAAGAAGGAAGAAGTGACATATACAGAGTCAATTGGCAGAGGTCTAGAAATTAGATTTTCTTCGATTATGGCTTTCAACTGGCAAAAGTCTAGCATAAGCACTGACTTCGAAAACGTAACGCTGTCTGAAGCACCAAAAGTCATTTGAGATCTACCATCGTCAGCTCCTGGTCCAGATGGAATCACAGTTCCTATGATTAAAATTTTATTCAAGCTATCCCCCGGCGACGTCCTCAATCTTATAAACTACTCTTTAAAGAATGCCTGGATACCATATGACTGGAAAATATCTAAGGTAATCCCATTAATAAAAAAGCAAGGATTAGGTTTTACCATAGAAAATATCAGACCCATCTCGCTAACTTCGAACATGGTGAAACTCATAGAGAGGGTTCTAAAGGGCCGAATAAACTCTTGAATGACGAATAAGGTCATATTAAAGCCAAATCAAATTGGTTTTCGTTGTGAATGCTCAATTTGGTGCGCCCATGCGGATTTAGAGAGTCGAATACAGCTTGCTCGTAAAAGGAAACAGTACGCCGCATTAGTAACTCTCGACATAGCTAAAGCGTACGACAGTGTCGAGCACTCTATTCTACTGACCACCTTGCAGAGTCTAAAGTTTCCACAGTATATTACTGAGTGGATAGCAGAATTCCTAAAATCAAGGGAATTGTATTGCGTGAAGGATGGCTGTTGTTCGCATAAACTCAAACAGAAACGTGGTGTTCCCCAAGGGTCCGTCCTATCTCCAGCATTATTCAATATACTGATGAGCTCTATTCCAATTGTTCAGGATGTCAGTGTCTACATTTATGCAGATGATATCGCGTTCTTCGCTGCAGAGAGCGACATTCACTCACTACATAAAAAACTGCAAAGATATATTAATACACTAGAAATTTGGTTGCAATCCATTTCATTGTCATTGAACATCAGTAAAAGTGCGCTCTTGGTGTTTCCAATAGCAGATACAGTTTCAATTTCTGTATTGTATAATCGGGAACCTATTCCACAAGTTGATTCAGTCAAGTACTTAGGAATGATTTATAATGAAAAGCTAAATTGGAGCCCACACATTGAATATATAACTGTAAAGGCACGACGGGCGTTAGGTTTATTACGCAGGTTAAGCAACAGAAAATACGGGCTGCGCAGACACACGATGTTAATGATATATAAAATGTATGTGCGACCAATATTGGAATTTGGGTGTGTATTATTCTCGGGGGCCACTGGTTATAAAATTAAACCGCTAGTAATGTTAGAGCGAGAAGCCCTGCGAATATACCTGGGACTTCCCAGGTTCGTGGCGAATAATGTATTGTATCAAGAAGCACGATTGCTAACACTCCTCTGTCGATTCCGCATTCTAAAGGTTCAAACCTTCTTAAACTTCTACAAAGTACCGGCGCGAAGATCAGAGTACGCATTTATCAGCGACCCTGACTCTTTCTTGCACATTGGCCTCGATTTTATACCCCTCAGATAATTTTCGTTAAAAAAAAAACTAGATTGCATAAATGTAGACATTAGAACAGTAATTGAAACCTAATTCCTCAACCATCAACATTAGAATAGAGTAAAGCCAAGTTGCAATCTCTTAGATTTTTGACCACTACATTAAACGATTACTTGGTACATGCAGAAACAAAAAATGTAATAGCTACAGATGCTTCTGTCAACAATGAAAAGGCAGGCGTAGGAATTGCGTCCGATTTCCTCGGCTGGTCTTTTTCAGTAAGGCTTCCAGATTTCACTCCTATAATTGAAGCCGAGCTAGTAGCTATTATTTTAGCTCTTCGTAAAATTCCTACGACCGAGACCAGTGCAATCATCCTAACAGACTCACTTTCGGTGTGTGCAGCTCTGACAACCTCTGAACAATCTCGTGCCCTAGCAGCGTTCCACACATTAGCACCGCCGCATTTAAAACTCCTCAAATTAGTGTGGGTCCCAGGTCACTGCGGATTACAATTAAATGAATTGGCAGATGCTTTGGCACGAGCATCACTCGATGGACCAGTAATTTCAGTACTTCCCGAGTTAGAATAC